CCCCCCCTCAACGCGCACTGACGTAGAGTTAGAACATGAGCCCAGCCGAGCCGAGCTCATCAATCTATCAAATGGGTGAAATTAAGATACCCCGGGAGCACTCTTAATACTCAGTGCTATTTAAAAAGTTCTAAAAAGGAGTGCGATGGGTAAAAAAAACAAACGAGTAGTCACTACGATTCTGTATGCCAAATAAGTTTCCTCTATGGGTTATAAGGCATTAACACATTCGAAAATATCGTTTCGATAAAGTTAGGAAAGAGTCTTCCCCTCTGTTACTGTTCATTGATCGCAAAGCAATTAAGTCCTTAAGGCATGGTTAGATGGCTAATATAGGGTACTAAAATTTTTAATAATACGAAAATCAACGTGGAAGATATATGCACTCACTTTTGTGAACTGGAATCCAACTGGTTCTCGAATTGACAGTCTAACTTCCGTAACATTCATGGAATCCATTGGTGGGAAAATGAAGATCGGAGAGTTATCATTGACATCAGTGACTCGCAGATTGATTGGAACTCGTCCGACAAGTCTAGGAGATCCTGAATCTTGAGCCCGAAGAATAAATCGTAGAACGACGAAATCGGAGGAGTTATTGAGTAAAGATAAACTTCCACCGAGTGAGTTGGCTAGAGATTCCCTATCGATTGGAGCTGCAGTGTAAATTCGAACTTCATATGCACTTCCGCTTCCTCCATTTCCATTCGAGGTGAAGTTTCGAGAAAATGGTCCACCAGTTGGAAGGTGTTTTCTCACTGATAGAGCTTCGAATCGCAGCAAATTCAAATGTTGACTACTAGGTTTCTCCCTACTTGGACGAACGCTGGAAAAGAGGCTTTCCACGTCTGTTTCCTTTGACCAAGTGGCAAGTTGAACGCCCTCTAAACTGAATTCTAGCTTAGAATTTGGTCCAAGATCAGCATCGAAGACCCGAACAATTCCCACCAAAGTTCCAGAATGAGAATTTTCCTCAACTTGGAAATTATACTCGCTGAGCTCAAACTGGGGAGCATTATCGTTTAAATCTAAGACTTCAATCTCAATTTCAGTTTGGCTTGATAAGGGTGGTATTCCCATGTCACTGACAATCACTTTGCATCCAAGTGAGGCTATTTTCTCCCGATCCAAATTTCCAGTGGAATGGAGAACTCCGGTTTCTTCATCTAGTTGAACCAACTCTAGAAAGCTTTCCGGACATTCTGGAGAGAAGTTATATTTCAGTTTAGCATTCTGACCAATATCTTCATCACGAGCTTTGACCTGGCCAATTTTTTCAGTGTGTGGACCATTCATGACAAGTCCCGCTGTGCTAGGATTTGGATCTTCATAGGCTCGAAAATGATGGGTATCATTTTCAAAAGTTGGAGCACAATCGTTCACATCTAGAATGTGAATAGTTTCCTTTTGTATCGATCTCATAACCGGCTTTCCTCCATCCCAACACTCGATGGTGAAATGAATTTCTGGATGTTGTTCTCTGTCAAATGATCTGGTAGCCAGGAGTTTGTATTTCCTATTTTGTGCCAGCCTTGTAGGGTCTTCGAAAGATTCCAGATCAGAGTTCATTAGTCGAAGAGAAAGGGCGCCACGAATCGATTGAGACTTCAACTGGCATTCAACGATAGCATTCACTCCGGTATCTTTATCCTCCACGCTTAAAATAGCGACATCCTGACCTCCAGGCAGATTCTCTGTTAGGGTTAACTTCTTTGATCCGGTAGGGGAAAAAATCGTTATTACCGGTTCATGATCATTTACATCTTCTAGGGTAATAAAAACTTTAGTTAAATAACTCGGTTGACCATTGTTGTAGGCGTTAGACGGTGTTATGGACGGTTGGTCACTGTTGCTTGCTTTTACAGTCAGTTGATATTGTGGGGAGTCCTGATAATGCAGTTTACTTCTTCGGAATATTGCTCCACTCTCTTGATCAACATGGAACATGCTCAATGTTGCAGGATCCGTAAAAAATGGATCAAGAGAATAGAAAACCTTTCCGAATTCCCCTGCATCAGCATCGTGGGCTTTGACAACCACAATCTTTTCATTCAAGGAGAGATTTTCTGGGACAGTCACGTTGTAGACGGTCTTCTCAAATATTGGAAAGTTATCATCAGCGTCTTCGATTTCAATTCGAATAGCCAGTTGACATTCATGGAGCCCATCTCCAGCCACAATAGAAAGACGATAATGTTTAGTAGTTTCATAGTCAAGTGGACGTAAGAGACCAAGGAGTAATTGAGCATCTTGTTGGCGGTAACCCATGGAAAAGGAATTTCGGGAATTGCTTGCAGCAGAAGATGAGTGAACGACATGAAGTTGAAAAGTTGCTGTCGGATCTTCTAATCTCACCTGATTCCATTGAATTGAGTGACCCAGACGTGCACTGTCTGGATCCTGAGGAGTGTAGAGTCTAATTTGGGTTTTATCAACAGCGGCGTCTTCCCTTAACTGAATAGTTTGTTCACCAGAAGGAATGAATTCACACCCATTGTCATTGACATCACGTACTGTGACAGCTACGTCAGCTAAAGCTTCGACTCTCCCGCCAATAACTCTTAAGCAAGTGACACTGAACCTTAATACACATTCATCATCAGATTTATGAGTTGGAGGAGCACAAATTGTTTCTCTGTCTAGGTCTGCAGCAACACTAATGCGACCGGAGAACTTATCCACGTTGAAGTATTTCGATCCATCTTTTGGATTGGAAACTTTATTGTACATCAAACTTCCACTAATAGAATGACCATGAGATGCCAACGAGCCAACATGGCTTTCAACGGGTGCACCCTCGTTGATTTCAAATCTGGCTGTAAATCCATGAGACAAGGGGGCGAAGAGGAGAGTGATGATTAGGAGAATGAAATTATTGAGTATAGATGGACTCATAACTGGCGGTGTAGAGACATAGTGTTTGCCAGGGTTAATGTCGTCATTTGAATCCGCACACACACGCACACACACACTCACAACGCACACACGTGTTTTCACTCCTGCCATACACTCGCACGTGTACACAACCAATTAGCGCGCATGCAAATAATCGTCGCTTTTATTGGTTACTTCTCACGGGGCAGGGCCAAGGATATATGCGAACAGAATGTGTGGCTGTACGTACTCCCGATTGTCTCATACTGGGTGCGATTTGACGAATATAAGGAGGGGGTAATGAAAAGCAATTAAGAGGACAATCAGCTTGGAGACGGGTAATTGGCCTTGACATCGCGAGCCCATTATCCCGTCAAACATGCGAGGAAATAAAAACTAAAAATCAGCCAACACTGGCCTGCATATATGATGATGAGTTTACCCATAATAATTGCCAATTTCATTGGAATGTCCATTGCCAATGTGTAACTGAAAGTTAATTTTAATAGATTTTAAAACTATTTAAATAACATTTTTGGAATTAAAGGACGAAGTAGTCATGTTTCAGTTGAAAGTTTCAAGACGTTCCTTTAATAAAAAATTATATGAAATGTTATTAAACACGACATTTGCATAAAGACAGTGAATATTTTTAAATAATTACAGGGGGTGAATGTCGTATTGTATTTTTATTTTATTACCATTTTTCAGTGTGTTATTATTACTCTACCAATTTTTTCTATTAAATTCAAATATTAGTGAAGAATTATTTAGTTGTTTTCATTAATAAAACATCACAATGTGCAATTATGTAAGGTCATTATTTCAATTCAGGATATTAAAGTCAGCAAGTGTAAGTCTATTCCAAGTGTTGGAAGAGCCCAGTGTAGTCATATTAAAATGAATGGGTATGCAAAAGTAAGATACATCAAGGGAAGACCTATTCTATTGATAGAGGACATCATATGGAACATTTTGCCCGATGTTTCGCAAATCTAATAAAAATTTCATAACTGGAAAGGCTTGACAACAACTGCCTTGAATGGAAAGCCATTCTACAGCCAATTTGTGTAGAAAATTGTGTTTTATCAACCCTTCTGCTGATTAGCCTGACTGGGTATACTAAATAACCGGATGTGAGCTGACAGGCATTGGTTTCGTAACCCTAAATTTAGCAAGTATTTGGCTAGCAACAGACTCACCTTTACGTGGTGTACCCCAGGAAACATATACTCATACGGCAAAAAGTCAATAAAAAGGCAGTTGACTTCAAACTACCATGAGCAGACTGTATGTCATACCCCCCNTCTTCAATTTCCTTTCCAGCTATGTTTGTATCCTTGTAGCCCCATCTGGTGGAGTGGGCGTTGAAGTCTCCTAATACTATGGTTTTGTGTGAGATGTTCAGAAAGTCAAAGTTTGGACAATTCTGGGGAGGATTATAGACTGCATATATCTTGAATTGGTTTTGACATTTCCAAACATTTAATCTGATTATTTCACATTTGTCTTGTGTCGAGCCCATACTCTTGATTAGGTCATAGTGTGAGGTTAGGCCATCTTTTACTCCAGTTAGAATTCCACTTGCAACTTGCCGGTGTTTAGGTAGATTGTATAGAGTGTAACCTGGGAATTGGTAATACTTCAGTTTGTCATCCGAAATGTTAGCTTCCATAATTGTGAAAATGTCTACATCATAGGTTTGCAGGATTTTCTGTATTTGGATCTTTTTGTCCGGAGACATTCCTCCAGCATTCCACTGGAGGATCTGAAGACATTGTGATTCGCCCTGGCGAGGGCAATTTTTCTTATAGCCTTTTTCAAAGCTAATCATAATTAATCGAAGTCAAAAACGTATGCCGATTGATAGACTTTTTTGCCGTAAGAAAATACGTTGTCCAGGGTGCACCACGAGGAGGTAAGTCTATCGCGCAAAGTTTTATGAGAGGAACAGAATATTGCATAAATATAAACGGGTCATTCGATTTCACAAGAATTTCTTGTTAGAATGACGTATGAATAAAGAATGTGCAACAAGGAATTAAAAATGTGGTCCACAGGACTTTCCCGATTTACGGATTCATCGTCGCAAGGCATGTAGATGAAGAACACAGACATAGTGTCTAAGTGTTTCATAATTTGTAAATGCAAAAAAGGATATATTGAAGAGGATCAATGTATGTGTTTGTTTAAAATTTCACAGTGAACGAATTCCAGTGAGTTTTGACATGTTCTAAATGACCACTGGGCTGATGGACAATAAGAAAAAATGAAAGTTAATTAAACTGCTTCCTATTTAAAAAAAACGCTGAAATTGAGGAGAATATTGACAAGGTTTCAGGAAATGAGAAACATGTTATGTGAAATGGCGATCATTTTGTAGCGGATTGCTACGTTAGTAAAGCCTGACCGACTCAGAAATCTCTATGGCAGATTCTCCAACATCTATCTATAATCCCAGAACCAGCTAAGCCATAGCCCAGCTATAAAGGAAACAGACGTGTAGCACGGAGCACGTTTATTCAGGACGTATATAGCAGATCAAGTGTGTACGCGCAGGGAGCTACTCATGATCAGGATGGGGGTTGTGTTAAACAGAGGTTAATGATTGGTCACTGTTTGTACGGCCGCACCTCCCAATCCTGGCGAGCAGACATGCAGGCATACGATGACGCACACAGTGATAACGTGTCCCACAATTTAACACTTATTTTACAAACTGATTCAAATGTGCAAATATTTCCAAAGCCTAAATGTACTCTCAAGCCTATCCCGCCTCTTTTATGTTGTTTTTTTGTGAACTTTAGGCCAATTTCGTGCACTTTTCGAAAATAAAAAAAATTTAGATTTTATTTCTCCACGGGTTAAAAGGCCCAGCNCCCAATAAATGAAGCCTGAAGTCAATTAAAGGACTAATGATAACTTCCATAAAGCCCGTCATTTGATGAGAATAGATTTAACAAGCATTTACGTATACCTGTAGCGGATTGCTACGCCAGTAAAGCCTGACTGACTCAGAAATTTCTATGGCAGATCCTCCTACATCTAGCTAGACTCCCAGAACCAGCTAAGCTATAGCCCAGCTATAAGGGAAACAGACGTGTAGCACGGAGCACGTTTATTCAGGACGTATATTGCGGATAAAAGTGTACACACAGGGAGCTACTCATGATCAGGTTGGAGGATTAGGTCAAACAAAGGTTAATGATTGGTTACTGTTTGTACGGTCGCTGCACACAGAGTTGTACGGCCGCACCTCCCAATCCTGGCGAGCAGACATGCAGGCATACGATGACGCACAGAGCGATAACGTGTCCCACATACCTTTCCAATACCAACGATAAACTGGTTCTTTCAATTATATTTAACTGTAATTTGCCAGATAAAAGGAAGTTATTCGAAAACAGACACACGGAATTTCTTAATCATGTATTATGAGACGTTAATAAATGTTTTAAAGGGCATTATCCCTAGAAGAAATGCTATATTCTGCCAAAATATGGGATTTTATGCTAAATTCGACAAATTTTAGATGTATATGTGTCAACTTCTTAAATATATCCATTAAAAATCAATAGACAATCGTCTGGCCTACTTTCATCTCAAATCACAAGCCCTTACAATTGTGAATTTATTTAAAAATTTAAGTCCAATATAGTAAATCCGACGGAATTTGCGCTTTCGGAAAACGATGATCAGATGTCCCTCCTGTGGTGTGCCCAACTACGCGTTCATTTACAAACAGAAAGCATATCTTCATTTGTAAGAGCATATTAGGATTCATATTTCTTGAGCCATTGTTTCCAGAAGACCTCCTAGTATTATTATTATTATTATTTCAAATGACAGGCTTTATGATATTTATCCTTAGCCCAAGACCCCCTAACACTAACTCTTGGAATCATCAGATAAGCCGATCTATCAAGATGCCATGATCGGCTATCCAATCAGCTGGTAACAAGATCTGATCGGTTTGAAGATGAACCCACACCAAAACGGAGTGGTTAAGTAAAGAGATTGAAAGATTATGACAATAAGACAGCGCAAAGAACTGGACTGATTGATCACAAAGTTGAAGCAAGATGATAAAAAGCAGATTTTGGGTGAGGTGATACTCTTGATGCCGAACCATTTAAAGTTATTTTCATTACACTCTTTGGCCCCCATCTAAACACTTTACAGACTATGCTCAGATGCCTTCTAATGACTGCAGTTATGGCGTAATTTGGCTCTACCACAGATAATCATAGTGTAGCGGATTGCTACGCTAGTAAAGCCTGACCGACTCAGAAATCTCTATGGCAGCTTCTCCAACATCTAGCTAGACTCCCAGAACAAGCTAAGCTATATCCCAGCTATAAAGGAAACAGACGTGTAGCCCGGAATACGTTTATTCGGTACGTATATTGATAGCGAAGTGTTAAGTTTGGCAGTGCGATTAGTTATCAGATAATTCTAGCATAATTCGTGTGAACATTAATAGCTAAAATATTTCTGAGTAGGGTTCTATAGCAGGATTTCTATTTGGTCATTGATGATGTGTCCCACAATAGTTTCAAATTCTGTTCTTTGCATATAAAGAGCTAGAACCAGTTGAATCCAACGTATATTAGAGTTAATTGGTTGAATTCTCTCCGACTACCTGAATCTATATTTCTTAGTAAACTCTTTATTCCGTTATATATATATATATATATATATATATATATATATATATAACGGAATTAATATATATATATATATATATATATATATATATATATAAGGCCACGTTTTAAAAAAAAGAAATTATACCAATCTATTGGAGTTTTAAAGATAGATGAATTAGAATTAAACATACAGGCGATAATAAATCAAAATATTCAAGTATATCCAATATTATCTAAAAGAAGAACTTAAATAAAACTACAATTTATGGACATTTATTGTGCTTCCCATGGGAAACATTAAAATGTACGCTGAAAATATGTGAAGAAGATATGAATACACTTTTTTGTTGTTTTGACATCACTTTATTTTTG